TGCATAATTGGCGATGAGGTTGGACCATCATGTGATAAGTCCACTTGGTGGTGTAATCACTACCTTGAGTAAAACACCCTCTCTACCACGCGAAAATCTATGCTATGATACATAGACCGTTTGTAGCAATTATATCTTGTTATACATATATTTAGGCATTGTCTTTTTACAATAAGGTACATTAATTTTTTGGGGGGGCAGAGGTCTAGGATAATTGATTTGGTAGTGCTGTTTTGAGAGAGAATGTCATTAAATTGTTATTTTGTTGAGGTTATTGACACAAAATGAAGGTAGAATGATCTCACAAGTTGTAAACAGCTCATGCACCATATTTGGCTACAATGCAAAATGTTGACTACCCTTTTATGTAGCAGTGTAGCACCGTTTTAGTAATCTGAATATTATCTTTGACTTCAAAAGCGTCTGAAACTTTTTCAGATACAACTGTGATAAAATAAATGAACCTCCACATCACATTCTTCATGCCTAGCCGGTTGGTGATAGAGACTAGAGAGAGACATGTTATTATTTTTTTTATAATTATTAATTTTTTTTTCCCAAGATTATTATTATTTTTTCGGAAGGTAAGACTAAATATTTTTACCAGTATTCAAACTAACAACAATTTTTAGTTGGATGAGACTAAGAAAAGCTCTTTGATAAGTTATAACAAAGAGCTAAGGATTGTGTGTTAGTTAACAAAAGTTTAGAGGCAACATTAGAGTAGGTGAAAAGCAACAGCGTGGTGGTGAAAACTAAAAATTTTGTTCTTATTTATTATTAAATAAAAATTATTATTAAACAGCTATGATTGAAAATTAAGAATTTGTGACATAATACCTTTTAAAATAAACGGCGAGGGTTTAAATTTTTGAAAAATAATAATAATAATAATAATAAATAAATAAATGCACGTTGTATTGTTTACAAAAATAAGAGTTTAAAAATAAAGTTATTTCGCTGTATTTGTACATACACACGGAGCTATCGCAGCTAGTCTTGATTTGTTTTGTCTCACCCTCTTAATCCAATCAACTTAAAAAAAAAATTAATAGAAGAAATTCCTGTCAAATTATGTTCTTTGTAATTTTATCACATCAACCAATTGGATTTCAAAAATCATTATAGTTTTTTAATTAGTTAATTGAAAATTTCAGTGGTGATTATATATATATATATTTGGATCATTTATTAGTATTGATATACACACAACGAAGGACACAAAATTGATGCCAACGAAGGACAAACAGATCGACGATGCTATTACACAATTTTCAACTGACAACAACCGTCTCATATCTATATATATAATACACACACACACACACACACACACACACATACAAACACACTCTCAGTGGTCAACAGCCGAATTGTAGTGACTTGTGATTCCTTCAAACAGCCTTTTCAGCGCGTGTTAAATGAATTGATGCTATAACGATGAAAATAACTCATACTCTCTCAATCAGAGTCCGAGATATTCTGTTTCATAGTATAGTACATGTTTTTTTTTTTTTTTTTTTTTGGAAAAATTGTCAATATAGCCCTTCATGAGGGGCGAAGTGTATGGGGGTATTTGTAAGTTGAAATTTCTTGTTGAGAAAGGGCAAGTGTGTAATTTCAATTTTTATTTAGACTATTTAAATAGTAAATTGCATTTTCCTAGTAAGCAATTATATAATGACACTAGACACCTAATGTCCTGTCCTCGCTACATATTCTCTCCCGCACAGTAACATTATCACTTACGTACTGCTGTATATGTATTAGCTGCATATTCTCTCCTACGCACTGGCACGCGACTTTATCATTCAAACAAATTTTTTTTTTTTTAACTTAAACAATTGAAGACATAAAAAATTAATGATAACTAATTAAAAAGAAGAAAAATAAAACAAAGAGAAAAATGATAGATTCATGCTTCTAATGTTCATTAGCAACCTGTTGTAACACTTTCCCATGATTGCAATTAGAATTTTTTTTTTTTTTTAAACTCAAACAATTGAAGACATAAAAATTTAATGATAACTAATTAAAAAGAAGAAAAATAAAACAAAGAGAAAAATGATAGATTCATGCTTCTAATGTAAATGATAGACCTCGGCCAGCTTGGATGTTAAAAGCCATCAAGACAATGTTAAGTTTGCCAATACACTCATTCACCATAGACAGACTATGTATATAATATATTCACACGTCAACATGATGGTCTCAACAGTCAATTCAATATTTTCATATACTCAAAGCTATTACTCCCTCTGTCCCATTATAATTGTCCACTTCATAAACTTACTTATAAATTATAATACAACGGAAGGAGTATACTCAGTTTACCACTTATAGTACAATGTTTTGTAAACTAATTGAGAGCCATTCGCAGGGGCCTCACTTCATCTCCTTTAATTAAAATTTTTATTTCACCTCCTTAAGTTTTCAAAATTGTCCAGTTGGTTAACATGGATTCTTATCTTAATCTAGTAAATACAATGTCCTGAGAATTTAATATGACTGAAAAAAATCATCTGAGGAATGAAAATCAAAGAGAGACCCAAAAAAATAGGCAACTTATTGAGTTATTTAGCAACTATTTTGTACATCATTACCTCTTGAATTCTTGAAACCCTAAACATACAAAACCATTTTTAGGTCTATGAAACATGCAAATCGATTTTACAGGCGGATCTCCAAATAGACCCAACTCATTCTTGAAACCCTAAGCACTAATTAAAACCTAAAAAATTCAAGCAATCGTAAATCAATATCCCTAAATAAAATGTGAGAGCTCTGACCAGTGATTGAGAGATGGTGGCTTTCCGGTGAGAAGTCGGTGGCTGTCGGTGGCTCTTACGGCTGGGTTCCAACGTAGTTCTATGCTATAGAAGTATAGAGTAAAGGAGACCTCTGTTGTGGAACACATTTAACTAATAAATAAATAAATAACATGTGATTGCAATTTGCAAATATTTTCAGGATAATTATCTAAAGATTCTTTTATAAATTATTTTAATATTTAATTATTATTTTTGTTAAATATTATGATATGTATTATAAATATCGTTACAAGTAAAAATAATTTTCAAATATTTCTATAAAATTATAGTATGCAACATTAATTAGTGTTAAGGTAAACCCAAAATTTACTGACAAACACAAATGCACTTTACTAATGTTTCTATGCATAATAAAAGAGAGCGTGAGATATAAAAAGTAGCAAAATACATACTAAAGATAGATTATCAAAAATCAATGTCCCAACAAAAACTTCTAATATGCATACTAATCTTTTTTGATAAATTTGGATAAATTATAGTCAGCATTAGTCAATCATGAAATTTGCTAATGTCTATGTACTTAATGTATTCAAAATACCACTATTGCCCCTGTTAGAATTAAAAGATATTTTGAATTTGTAAAGTGACGTGAGATTACAAAACTATCCTAATCTCTTCCGATGTTGTTGTTGCAGAGTTTTCAAATCTCATTTTTAATACTTTATCAACAAATCCTCACTCAGATTTTCTCATTTTCAAGAGAGCAAACCTTGGTTTAACACATATTTCATCCCAACAAAATCAGTATATTAATACAGTGATTGAAGAGCATTGATTAATTTTTTGTTTCTTTATTATACAAGCCCATTGTGGGTAACTATAAGGGGGAGGTATGTGTAATAATGTTTTGCTTTTAGGAAAGGTTAGAGCAATTTGAAAAATTATAGGGGAGCTTCGTGTAGTTATGAAAAATTTCGAGGGAGGTCAATATAAATACTCTCACATCAACTCACTTCCAAGTTCCAACATCAGAGGATGCTAGAATATGTCATTAAACACAAAATCAAAAGCTTTTAGAAGCCATATTTGACGGATCATGGAAGCCATGAGGTCACCGGCCACCATCATCAATTAAACCTAACTTCTGTACAAAGTATACAAACATATATATATACACACACACACATACATAGCCTACATATTAAACAAAAGTACTTTAATGTCAATAACATACATACCTATATGACATTTACAGAAGAAAGGAAACTGTTAGAGGATTAGATGTGCCATGGCCTAATGTCTAAGAAAGTAAAATTTAGACTATTTAAATTGTAAATTGCATTTTCCTGGTAAGCAATTATATAATGACACTTGACACCTAAGTCCTTTCCTTGCTGCATATTCTCTCCCGCACAGTACCATTATCTCTTACGTACTGGTGTATATGTATTAGCTGCATATACTGGCACGCGACTTTATTATTCAAACAAATTATTTTTATTTTTTTTTTTTAACGCAAACAATTGAAGACATAAAAATTTTAATGATAACTAATTTATTAGCAAAGAGAAAAATGATAGATTCATGCTTCTAATGTTTATTAGCAACCTGTTGAAATCATTAGTTGTATTTCTAAGCTCTAAGAAAGAGAACACTCTCAAACTGTGCCCCTCCTCTCTGTACATTTCCGGTATGCATGCTTCTTGGTAATGCCATTGAACCTGCAGACTTTGCTGCCCAATTCATTACTTTGGTAGCTGATTTAGCCTGCCGACTTGGACATGGACTTGTTCATGCATGAATATGTAGAAACACTTCATTATTGAAGCTAAATGCGATCAGGACTCAAATTTTTTTTAGCAATAATATAATATTGGGTGCAAATCATTACATGCATCCCCAAAAGTGTTAACCAAATCAGTGGTGTCTGTAAAGAAATTGATGGAGAGAGATAGAAGTTGAAAATTGGGTGAAAACATAGAGGGAAAAGAAATTCAGATTAAAAACAAGGGAATCAAAAGAAAATAAATGAAGCCCAGAAGACTAGTTTCCACTCACAGCACACATGTTCAGAATGCATTCAGTAACTACTACTCAGTAAAGGAGTTCCGGCTAACCAGAACATTAATTACCAGAACATTAAATATTGTATTTCACAAAACATTACTAAGTTAGAAATCTTCAAAACAAGCCACGGCCACCACTTCTTCTTCATTCCTTCCTTCTGACCACCATCCATTTTCTTATCTTCCATTCGGCCAGTCTTTCCTCCAGTTCTACTTCTGAGGCCCAAACAAAGAAAATTAAAAACGAACACAAAATTTAAAATTGAATCAACACAAAATTAAAGGTTTAGACAAAATTAAAGGCATTACTCCTCCTACGTAGAGCCGCCTCGTTGACATTGGCGTTGTGCTGTGTCGTCTCCGGGTTGTGCTCTCCCACCGGCGGCAGTTCCTCTTCAATCTGTAAGAAACAACACAAGATTATTGGTTGGTTCCGTAATTCAGTCAACGGTGACATCCATAAATCTCATTCATCTACCGGAGGAGTGAGCGGTTCAGAGTGAACCGAGCAGGTACTCTGCGGCGACGGTGGTGGCGAAGGCGGCGGCGAAGGTGGCGGCGAAGGCGGCGGGGACTGCGGCGGAGATGTCAGAGACGGGGAGGGCGGCGGAGACGGGGAGGGCGGCTGGGACGACATTGTGACTCTAAAAAAATATATAGTGATTATAAATTCATAATTGTAAATGGAATTTCTTAAACAACAGTGAAGTAAGTTAAATCTCCATATAATAAAACTCCACCAAAGTAATCAATGTCTCCATACTAATCATCTAAAATATATAAATCCCTAATATAAAAATGATAACAAAAACAACAGCAATAAAAAGAAGAAGAAGAAATGGAATATGTGGTTGGCTAGAACTCCCAAATATCATCTCAAAAGCCTTTTCCCAACAAAAATAAAAATAAATCCCTACTGTAAAAATTATAACAAAAGCAGCAGTAATAAAAAGAAGAAGAAGAAGATATTGAGCTAGGGTTTGAGTTGTATATTGGTTTTTCACCCGCGAGGACAGAGCTAGCATACAGAGAAAAGGTCTAGTGACATGAACTTACTCAACTAACTCATCCTTTTCTCACTTCATACTGACTGTAAGAAAAAAAATATAGTGATTATACTCCACTATAGTGATTACAACATTAATTTTTTTTCACATGTACAGACTTGTGCACTGTGTGATAGTGGATGTAAAGAGATATATAGTTTTAAAGAGAAGAAATCTAAACTTACAGAGTCAATATGCTAAGAATATAAATATATAGATATAGATACATCTGTTTGAAGAGAGAGAGAGAAGGTAAAAGATAGTAGTTAGATCAACAAAGAGTAGTATTACCTGATTTCAACGAAAATGGCAAGTTTTCCGGCGAACCTCCGTCGATTGTAGAGAGACACACACACACACAGAGAATGCTTGCTTAGGAAGAAAAATCCGGACTCCAAATATTTATGCTGGTGAGTAATGATGGGCAGTAGGCTAGGCTTGCAGGTCTACGAATATTTGGGTTGTTTGTGCCAACTGTTGCCCTTTTAATTCTTTTTGTGATTTTTTCTTTTCTTTTTCTTTTTTTCATTTTTTCTGTAATAGTTTGCAACCCCCATACAATTTTGTGGGCATCTTCTTCGGATGTTGCCACATCAGATGTGACCCACAAATTGTGGGTCCAAGTTATGACTTGGCAAATTTTGATGAGACGTTTCTTCCTCCAGTTTTTTTTTATTTTTTTTTTATTTTTTTAAGGGAGGCTGTTATTACTCCTTTGTCATGTTTGGGAGTTTAGAATTAAAATTTTAAAAAATTTAATTTAAAATTTGAACTATATTCTCTTTAATTTTAAAGTCCCGATTCCATAATTTATAAAGTAATATTAAAATTTTAATTTCAATATAAAATAGTAATATTATTATAAGGTTAACTCCATGACATTTGGTATACTGTATTTTTTAAATTAGTTTATTTTGAAAGAAAATAATAATAATAATGTAGAAATTGGGGAACAATATTAAAGTGATCTCATTATGAAAAAAAAAAAAAAAAAAAAAAAATCAACTCAAAGTACTATACAATAAAATTAAACGATACAATAATAAAATAATAATTTAACACGGTGAAATAAAATCAAAAGAAAAAATATATATAAAAAATTCTGGCGTAAATAAACTTTGGTATGAAATTTTGATTGTATTATCTTATACAATACTTTTCAAATTATTCAGTAAAGTACATAATTGCCAAAAACGACATAAAGTTATAACAACTATCATAAAATTAACCTTAGTATATAAAGTTGGAGGAAATGTTGAAGACTATTATACCTTTGTAAGAGCCCATTTATTGTTAGAATGAAAAAAACAAATTTATAAAATAAAAATATTTTTTAACTGTTGAAAAACAATCCAAAAGGAGCTCTTAGTGTTGCAAAATTATGTATTTGTGCGCACATATAGAATTATACTCAATGATAAATTAACATAGTCACGCGGTAATTTTATAAAAATGGACGACTGGCATTACAACAAAGAATTTGAAGAGAAATGAATTACTACCGTTAAAAAATATTTTTGAGTTCAAAAGTTGAAGCCAACATATACGCACTCGCAATATTGGCTAACATTCAACCTCTTACTCCTAGGTCGGATGAGTTAATGGTGTATTGGTTCTGTTTTTGTCCAAATGAAATGTCTTTATGCTTAGTTATGCAACAAAGAAAATGTCTAAGATTCGAACCACCCGCAACAATATTAAAGTGATCTTATTATGAAATAAAATTTTTTTAAAAAAAAATCAACTCAAAGTACTATACAATAAAAAAATCATCAGATGTGACCCACAAATTGTGGGTCCAAGTTATGACTTGGCAAATTTTGATGAGATTCTTCTACCCTTTTTTTTATTTTTTTTTAGAAAGGGAGGCTGTTATTACTCCTCTGCCATGTTTGGGAGTTTAGAATTAAAATTTCAAAAAAATTAGTTTAAAATTTGAACTATATTCTCTTTAATTTTAAAGTCCCAATTCCATAATTTCTAAAATAATATTAAATATTTAATTTCAATATAAAATAGTAATATTATTATAAGGTTAACTCCATGACATTCTAGGGATTATGAGAGAGTCCCATACCATATCCTTGGTTGGTTCTCAAAGATATTTTGGATTTTCTAAAATTTTATAAACTCAATTATGCTGAATGTTAAATTAATAGAAAAAGATCCGGACCTGGTTTTAATTAATTTGGTAGAACTTCAGTTGTTGTAATGTAGTCAATAGACTTATTGGTTTTGATTTCTAAAATAGAGCCTAATCGAGTGGTCAAAGGAGGCTATCGCAGTCATCTTTTTAGGGTGGTCCCAGAGAATAGATAATCTTAGCCGTTCATAAGAGATCACGATATTGAATAGATAATCTTAGCCGTTCATAAGAGATCACGATATTGATGATCATGATCGGAAAATCGCAAAGCCGCTTTTGCCCCGGGGTCAACGGTCAGAAATTCAGAAATTTTGCTAGCACCAAATAAATGCTTTAAGATGCTAGCTGGCTTTCTAGCTTTCTGTTAAGCATTATAGTAAGTGGCAACGTCTCCTTTTCGTATCATGGCCCACACATACATTACTTGTTGCAGATTACTGTCCCTTCCGTACAAATAAATGATTTAAGATGAAGAGTACTGTGCAGTCATAGCCGCCATTTCTTCACAATCCATATCTTTTTGTGACGATTACTGGTCCTAGAGAGAGAGAGAGAGCCTCTCATTTATAGAGAGAGAAAGCCTCTCATTTGCTAGGTGATGGGCTAGGCCTGAGGTGTTATTCACGTTCTCTTTGTTGGTCTCTTTGCTTATTGGGCCGTCTGCAATTCGTGGGCTGTGTCCATGCATTTTGTATTGCATCATATTTATATATATATAAAGCTCAATTTACCTTCCAAAAAAAATAATAATAATAATAAATTTTCAAGAATCGTGGTGTAAAGAGGGAGACTGAAAAGGCACCGAATTGAATAAAAATAATAAATTTGCATCATATTTATATATATATAAAGCTCAATTTACCTTCCAAAAATAATAATAATAATAATCAATTTTCAAGAATCGTGGTGTAAAGAGGGAGACTGAAAAGGCACCGAATTGAATAAAAATAATTTTCAAATATACAATATTAACTATGCTTGGAAGCCCTGGTGCTTTAAATTCGAAATTAGAACCAATATTCAGTGATATTGAAATTTATTGCTTACCAAACTCAAAAAATATATTATAATTATACAAAGTGAACATTGTTATGCTTCCCAAATTTCATCACCCAAAATCAAAATCGTTTAGAAGCCATGGAAGGCTAGACATCTGCCTGTGGACTACAAATTGGATGGGTCATGGAAGCCATGAGCTCACCAACATCATCATCATCTGTTAAAAAAAATAATAAATTAAATATCGATCTTACTTGATACCTCAATTTAATACTTAATTACAAATTAATTAAGTGATTATGTAATTACACGTGTCTATTGCTCAATAAACTTAACTTTTGTACAAAGTAAATATTCACCCCCGCAATATATAATGCATACAAACATATATTTTAAAGATAATTGTGGATGATCTACAGATACGAGATACGGATATAACACGATACAGATACAGTTATGGTGATACGACAAATTTTAAATAAATAAATAAATAAAACACATGAATATGACACGATACGAATACGTGTAATTATAAATTAAAACTCCAAAATGTAGTAATTGTAAATCAAATCCCCATATAAAATGTGAGAGCTCTTAAAATTCAAACTTCTCTAAGGCTTTTTTTTTTTTTTTCGATCGAACGAATTGTGGTATTGCATGCTTTGTTTGGTCTTCTACGGATTTTAAGTAATGCATAATTTTGTGGGCATTTCTAATTGTTCTATATTACTAAGTATATTTATATATATATTTTATGTTTATATCAAATTTTATAGAGAAAATTAAAGTTGATGTACTACCGATTATGCTTTTAATATTATCCAATAAATTTGAAAAAAAAAGAAGTTAAAAGTGGGTAAGGCAGCGTGTACACTCTAACCCTCTCAATATATATTGGTTCTATTGAGTAATGCATATGCAAGTATTATATAAGCAAAATTACACACACACGCTATGTTTATCCTGTGGTATATACGCGCACACATGCAATTAGAGTATGTAACGTGTAGTGGAGTGGTTACTGTGTGCACTTGAAATTAAGTAAGTGTATCTCTGTATTCTGATTTTTTTATCAGAGAGTGGCAGGCACCCTTAGGTCACCAAAACATTACTGTAGTTGACTCGGCTTGACTCTACCTGCAAGAAATCTCAACTTCCCCATAATACCCTTCAAACTGCAAGTTGGAAGACTGACATATGCCTGCATGTAACCCTAAGCACTAAATTGAAGCCCCAAAATGCGGTAATTGTACGTTTTAATGAAACATATGTCTTGTTGTGCCAACTCATTCTTGAAACCCAAAACACTAAATTAAAACCCAACTGATTCTTGAACCTAAACACTAAATTAAAACCCCAAAATGCAGTAATTGTAAATCAAATCCCCACCCATATAAAATGTGAGAGAGCTCTAAAAATTCAAACTTCTTTGAGCTTCTTCTTTTT